CATGTATCTATAGAGACAGGCACTTAAAAATGGTAGCGGGAAGGAGACTATGGTCAAAAAGATGACCACAGCAATCTATGCCCCTTTTATGTCTGATAATGTGATGTTGAGATAGAGTCTGTGTTCTCTCCTGAATTCAGTAGTCCTGTGACAATAGCAGCAGACACAGCACAGGACTCACATTCTAAATCCACTTGATCTCTCAGCGTGTTCAGTCTTGCAACCAGCCACTGGGCAGTGAGGAAGCCAGTCAGCCACACTGAGGCCATGGTCCTACCACAGTACAAGTTGAGGTTCCAAATAACAGTCAGCATCAACCATGGGCCACTTAGGTGAGCCGGCCTTCAGAAGCTTCTACTGTCCCACCCTGTAGTTGACACAAAGTGGAGCAGAGAAGAGCTATCCCCACCGAGCCTTGCTTTGATTGCAGATTTGAGAGCAAACTTAATGCTGTTATTGTATCAAATCACTATGTTTTGGGATAATCTAATTACACAAGAATAGATAGCCAAAATGATGTCCAAGGCCCTGTGATACTGGACCCTTCTTTCTGGTGCAGCATAAGCCTGGCCTTAAAAGAAATGGGATCAAGGCCAGCAGGTGGCATGGTAGTTAAGGTGCTAGATTCCCATGTAGTTGACCACAGTTCAAGTCCTGGACCCAGCAGCTTGAAACTTATGCTGGGTGTGTGTGCATGCATGCCCCAAATCCCAAAGAAAAATGGAGGAGAAAGGATTCAGTGTGGCCATCTCTCTTGGGGGTGATTTCTCACTTTCTGTCCTTCTCTATCTCTCTGGTGAGTGCACACGCCCCATAGCAAAAATCTTTTAAAAAAGAGAAAAACAAAAAAGAAAAGAAATGGGATCTGCCTCTCCGCCTTTGATGGATCTTGGCCATTTATTTGGGTTTTTGTTTATTCGTTTTATTAACCTTAGCTGTTTCTCTCTTGGTCTCAGATGAGGTTGTCTATGGGATATAGCCCAACCGAAGTTGTGTGTGTGTGTGTGTGTGTGTGTGTGTGTGTGTGTGTGTGTGTAGCACGCACACAAGCACCACATGGTATTTTATGCAAACTTGCATTGTTGACAGTAATTAGTAATCAAGAGCTTTTTCAAAACACACACACATACATACACACGCACATTCACACATGCACTCTAAATTTCTATCTTCTTTCAAAAAACCAAGACAAACAGAAGATTTGGCAATGCTGAATTTGCATTTCCTCAAAACAGTGATTCATTCATAAACTCTGGTTTCCTCAATGCCTTCTGCTCCCCGCTGTATTACATCCTGCCTGTTCCACTCAAGTTCTTGTCACTCTTCCATTTCCTTCCTGACCTCCATTGGCATCTGGGTTTGTGACATCTATTCAGTTAACACTGCTCCACTTTAGGGGAGGCTGAAATGTACTGCTTAATGAAGATGAAATAAAATAAAATAGTGCTTGTCCCATCACACTGCTCTACTTCAGGATTAGGATTTATCCATATATAGTTATGCAGCCTAACATCTTTTGAGAATAATAATTAGAAAACTGAACATCAGAACAGTAAAAAATTAAAAATATCTGAAGTCTGAGTTTAAAGTGTAATAAGATAGGATGAAATAAAATATATAGAAAGGAGACAAGGTGACTGGGCTACCAATTTAGGTTCTTAGTACATAAGCATACATTGATACCCCAGGAACCAAAGACTTTTTGTTTCAATGTTTCATGTAAAGTTCGTTTTCACTGAGAACAAAATTAAATAAAATCCAAACCCCACTAATAGAATTACACATATTACATTTAAGAATCTTATTTACTTTTTGTACAGTTTCTGGATAGCCTTACACACTGCTATATAAAGATCTCAAATAAATGGTTTCTGGGGAGAACATTCCATTTTAAATACTGAAAAATGGAATCACCCACCCTGGATGATCCAGTTGGTATTGATATACTTCTTTTTTATTTATAATATCTGGTGTCTTCCACCTTAATAAACAAATTGTAGGGACCAGCAGTTAGCGTAATGGCTATGTCGCTGGACTCCCACGTAGTCTACCGCGGTTCGCGTCCCGGACCCGGTGGTTTAAAACTCACGCTGGGCACGTATGCGTGCGTGCCCAAGATCTCGAGAGGAGAATGGAGGAGAAGGGATTGCAGCGTAGCCATCCCCCTGGGGGGTGATTTCTTGCTTTCTGTCTCTCTGTCTCTCTCTGTGTGTCTGGCGAGCGCACACGCCCCATAGCAAAAACCTCTCAAAAAATAAACAAACAAACAAATAAATTGTAAGTCTTGCTGCTTAACAGAATGGCATAATTGTATATGTCTTACAATAAGTAGGATGTTCCGGAAATGGAATGGTAAAGTATGTCAGACAAAGAAGAAATGACTACCCTTTATTTATAAAATTTTATTTCTTTAGGAAGGAGAAATTCTATTTTTTTCTTTATTAAACATGTTGGAAAAGTATCCATTTCTAATTTATCTTATAGTGATGTGTATTCCCTCATTACATTAAGAAAAGTTTTATGTTTCAAAATCAATCTCAAGAGCACTTAATGAGCTCTTATGCAGTCTTTATGAAGAACCTCCAGCGGCATGAAAACATTCTGTAGTTTTACAAAGTATGTTTGTGGTGGGCTCATTATGGCATGTTGAATCAAGATTTTACTCTTAGCCTTTCATTTGGTATCACACTGAATAGACTTTCAGAATTGCTACTCTTTGGGGGGAAAACAATACCAAGATCATTTTTAAACTGAGTACTATTTTGTATTATCATAGTCATATTTCTCATGTCCCCTTCTACAGAATATGCAATGATAGCAAACAGCCAGATTATACTCCCTACCCTAAAAAAAAAAAAAAAAAAAAAAAAAAAAAAAAACCAGATCCAAAACAAAAAAGAAAGAAAAAAGAAAAAGCCACTAGATTTTAAAATAAGGTACTGTCTGCTTCATATTACAGGAGATTAAATCATTCGGCTTGGGAGGACTGCATTTGAGTCCCAATCCTCAGTTCACAAATTTCAAGTCTGAGATGGTGCCGCTGGAGAAGCTCTACACCCGTGACTTCAGTGCAGTCCTCATAAAGCTTCATTTTATTGGAGTTGTCAAGTATGCATTTAGGGAGTAAACGCTTGGCTTATGAAAAAAAATAATAGAACAGCTTTTTAACTTACATTGCTGTCGCTTTATTTCTGTTCCAAGTAAATAGCTCAGGGTTCACATTGGATGGTATCTCAGAAAGTTGCAAAAATTAAACTTAGAAGTCAGGGATAAAAATGACTGAGAACTGCACTCTGAAATCCATCATGAACACCGAGTTGAGGGCAGTCAAAACCTTAATGCGATGCTAGAATAGCTATGAGTTTTTGTGTGGATCAAGTTTTAGCAAAGGGCAGAAATTTTAAAATTAATTTTATTTATTTATGTATTATTATTACATATTGTTATGTTACATTTCATCACATATATCTTTACAGTGTATAATATTTGTTTTTCCAGCACGATTACCATGCATATCAGTCAAGACAAAGACATTGCTATCCATACTGTCATCATCAAATAACTTTTCGTTTCATCTTTAGATTATTATTATTTTTTATTCTCATTAATTTCTTAGAACATTCAATCACTATACATCATTTGACTTGTAAAGAGAATTTACCCAATGTGAAATACTTCTCAGACCAGTCCAGTAGAGAATACTATCCAGGTTATCATCAACAGGTGAATAAACCATTTGTGTGTCCCACAAATGTCATGCCTCTCTATTGGTTCTCTTGCCATCCTTCGCTATACTCTTCCCTTCTTCCCACCTTCCCCTCCACACACTGCCTTCTACAGTGTCTATAACTATTTTAGTAAAGGGCAGGGTTTTTTGATAAGTAACAAAGAGGGTATATTCACCACTATGCAAACGTTGGTTAGGACCAAACAAAATGCCCGCAGAGGCTCAGCCAGGGTGGCCCAGCAGTAGCATTGCAATCCTGGGCCTATATGAAGGATCAGGATTCAGACACTGGTGGACCTATAGGTACAGGGCTCTGGGCGCCCACGTGCCTGCCTGTGATCCTCGCTGACTGGAGGAGGGGTGGGGGCCGTGAGTCTTGGTCAAGGATGCTTCTCTATCGCTTTCTCTCAAATAAACTTAAAAAAAAAAAAAAAGATACCTAGAAAGTTTAACAACCTACTAATTTCTGGTCGCTTCACAATTCTTTTTAATATTTTTCCCCCAAAGGCACCTTCAAGTAGACAACGCCATTATCATGGCTCATTCAAAAGCAAATGAACAACGGTAGAATTAACTTTGTAGCAGATTTTAAAAGGCAAAAGTGTTACCACATAATAGAGGAGTTTACCTGGGAATATAAGATTTTGAAAGTTTCTAAATGTGGCTTCCTAAATCTCTCAGAATAGCAAAGTTTCTAAGGAATTCTTAAGGACCTTTCATTCATTTCCACGGATGGTGTAGCTGACACCCCGCGCCTGGGAGCTCCAATTAGTCACGATTTGGGAAGCTTACAAATTCCCAGCCCTGCACAGCAAAGCCTCCGAAGGCTACAGCTGCCACCCCCCGCACCGCGCACGCTGAGATCTGTCCCTGTAGGTCCCCCAAATTGGAGTCGCTCTCCTTTCCCGTAAGGGATAAAGGGGCTGCTTAGCAGGTGTGTAGGTGGGGAATCTATTATGTGGGGCTCTGGGAGCAGGAACATGATCAGAGATGGAAAACTGCTGGTCACCCATGTTCAGCTTCACGGGGCAAAAACTCTGAGCCACTCGGAGAGGGCAGCGACCAGTCCAGCCATAGGCTCCTGAGGCTCCAGGATGCAGGAGCTGAACGCGAAAGTAAGAGCGTGCTGGCTCTGGGGTCTGCAGGGTCCAGAGTGCGCAGCCCCGACCCGAGAGCGAGCCTACGGGTTCCGGGGATTCTCGGCACCCGCGCCCTCGCCGGGGTTTGGACTGACCCGGCTCCAGCCAGGGGTATCTGGGAGGCACTCGCTTACCTGGAGGTAGGGCCGCCCGTGGGCCACCCCGCCCACGACGATGTCGGCCGAGGCCATGGCCCCGGTGGGCGAGAAGCCGAAGCCCACGTAGCCCGCGGTGGGGACCTCTAGGCGGAAGGCGAGCCGGCTGCCCCGCTGGCCCCAGCTCAGCCAGTACTTGCCCTCCGAGTCCAGGAGCGTGCGGTGCGGGTAGATCCGGCCCGAGCCCCCCGCCGGCGCCCCGGGGGGGAGGCCCCACAGCAGAAGCAG